GAATTTTATGTTGCACCCCTTGTTCGTTATATCGAAAAATTCGTAATATCGAATGTTGTACATTTACCTACCAATATGGTTATTTTTAGGAGATTTCATATATTTGAGTTCATAAATTAACTTTTAAACACGTACGAGTATATATTTATTTAAAAGTATTTTTTATTCGGTTGTTACAAAAATTATTTATAAGAAAGGACGCATTCAATCATAGTGTAGAGTAAAAAAAATCATTAATTTTTGTTTGTTTTTTACTACACTCAAGACTTTTCTGAACAGCTTTTTCTTGTAGTTCTCTTAGTACAGCTAATTTTGAAGTTTCATTATTGTTAATCGCCCACTTTATGCATTTTTCGAAATGATTTATGGCATCTTTATGTTTAATAATTTCTAAATTATTTTCTTCTATATTTTCGTCATCAGATCCATCATCCTCGTCCGAGATATCGATGGTATTATCAGCATTATTCCATTTATTAACTTCGTATGTACTAATGTCACACTAACAATAAAATTGAAAATATAATATAGGATATTTAAGCATAATATTCTTTGTTACATTAGGAAAAACATTTTGAAGTAATGTAATGGTTGTTTCAGTTACATTATCATTCGTTCGTGGTATAAGCTGAGCCAAAGGTATATCGTCCTCTTCATCGAACTCAATAGAATTAAATGACAAAATATTAGCCCAACACTTTTTGATAAGATCTTCTGACAATTTTTGCCAAGCAAATGACAAAAGGGAAACTGCATTATAAATATTAACTTGTTTTAGAGCGCTTGAAATATTGTCACAACCTTCAGCCACAATTTTGCTCAAAAGACTATTGCGATAGTGTAACTTAACAAGTCGTATAACGTTTTGATCCATTGGTTGTAGCAACGGAGTGACATTAGGTGTCAAAAATATTGTCGATATTGTTCCATCTTCAGTAACTTTTATCAACTCTTTTTCAGCTGGATGACTTGGCGTATTTTGTATATGATAAACTGAATTTGTGAACAACAGATCAGTGGCGCCTGCGTATATGCATTTTGCCATATATAGGCTTTTTTCTCAGAAAAAAAACGGACAATTACGTGCATATTCTAAGCTGAATAATGCTAGTTTTATAGTAAAATTATATTCAAAAGCATAATTTGTATAAAACAAAAACGAATAAGAAACAAAAAATTTTTTGTTCGTAATATGGAGCAGAATTTTTTTTTTCGTTCGTTATATAGAACAATCAATGTAAATATTTTGGGTGTTCGTTATATCGAAAATTCGTAATATCGAGCGTTCGTTATACTGGACGACCACTGTATTTCTTAATGGCGATATTCATTTATAAATCTGATTTAAATACAGTTGAAACTGCTTGGAATGTTAACGAAGCGTAATACTTAATTACACAAATAATTGTATTAATATTAATTTATTCATGAATAAACATAAACTTAAATAATATGTTTATTTATATATGTATATATACATATATATGTATTTATTTATATATAGTATTATTATTACAAGCGTTAATGCACTTCAACGATGCAAACAACCGTAAAAGTCAATTCTCAAGCACGTGATAACCTTAACCCGTTTACCTTGATTAGATATAAATACAAAGTACATATATAGATACATCTATTTACATATGAAGAGTGCAAATACTAACGAATAAAAACAACATAGGTAGAAAAAAGAAAACAATTAAACACGTAGTAACAAATTACCCACAAAAACGTTTGAAGCATAATTTAAATAATTTACTAAATGCTAAAAAAGTAATTACAGTACTAAATTCAGTGCATTTCCATACTGCATTTAAAAAAGGGTTGTATAGGTAAAGAGATATAAATTTACATTAATCTCTGAAACAAGCTTGAAAAAAGTATTAATTTTATTCTCTTACCTACTTACTTAGTTGGCCGTTGCCGACGTGAGTCATTCTTGACCGCGTGCACTAACCAGTTGATAGTACCAAGCGGCCACATATTTTTTTATTCTCTACATTATATAAATCCTACTTAACAACTGTTGAATATACTCCATCGATTTATCATCATAGGTCAATAACCATTCCTATAGCTGCAAGCCCATGCTTTCAGTGTATTGGCGACATATCGTTCACTGCTGAATCTTACATTCAACATCTCAAGTAAGCACAGCGAATTCTCACATCTATCTTGTGATTATATCGACTCCATCACAGGTATACCGTGCTCTTGTGCTCATAGAAGCTGACGAGGAAGAGTTTTTTTAGTTTCTGCAAATCTGGCGTACTACCACTTTAAATACCTTGTGACAATGCTTTAGACACTTTTCAACCTCTTCTCTAGGGAAAAAAAATAAAAATATTATTATTAATTTTATTATTGTTATTATTATTATATAGGCATATCAAAACAAATTGTATCGAGGTCATTGCGTTAAAATTAAAGAATTTACGTCACCCCTATAAAACCAACGGGTCCCCAAAACAGACTTTAATTTAAATTTTATAATTTTAACTAAATTGAGTTATAAGTTATAGTTTACAATTTAATATGATTCTTAACAGTTGAAAGCTACCAAGAGTTAGCCTCTTTTTTGGATAGAATCAGGTATATCGTTTGTTTACTCATTCGTTTACTTAATACCATCATCCCTTTTTTATAAGATCATTTTCTCAAATAATTTTAATTAAATATTAATTAATATTTAACCACTGGGAACACCTAAACAATCTGGGCATATCATTGACATCATACAAACTGACACTGAGTTCTTCCTGTGCCGAATTTTTTAACAAAAGATGGGAAGACTCAACAATATACAGGCATTTGTATGCAATTTGGTCACGCTCCAAAAGAAGTCTTATAATAGGTTTACTTA